CCAAACAAAACAATTTTAAATAAATGTGAGAATCTTTTACAAAGTAACATACAAACGTATACTAGTTTTGCCATTTTTTTTAACCTAAATATTCCATTTAAACGTTCCATTTAGGCACATTATAGTACATCCACAGGATACTGTTTACTCAAAATGTTTAAAAGTAAGGAAAAATACTTGTTACAAAACAGCAACATAATAACACTGGTCTCTAGCTGGTGGTTCTGTGGTGTTTTATTCCAGTTTTCTATTTTTCCCAATTTTTATACTACAAGTTTCTAATGTCCCGTAAGTCCTAGTGGAGGCCCAGCACTGTTCTAGAAACCTTGTAACTGTATTTTCAGTCAGTGGACTGGAGCAGCCCTCGCCTAAATGCTCCGCATCTCACCCGTTTGCACAAGTCCAGGGACGTGATCTTCCCGAGGGAAGGCTAAGCCCACCGTTTCCTGAATTTCCGCTCATGAACGAGTCCGGCTCCCCGCAGAGCGGGGCAGAACGCCTTTCGAATGGGCCCAACCAATGGACACAGACATCAGGGGGGTGAAGGCATGAGTGTGTGTGTGGGGGGGGGAATGGGGGATAAAGACACGTAGGTAATACCTTAATCAACAAAGAAAAAAAAAGAGCACAGGCGGCGCCTCAGGCTCTCCAACTCCTGCGAGGGGCCGGGCGGGCGCTGGTTCAAGGCCCCACCACCAGCGACTCACCAGCCGCGGGTGGGTCCGGTTCCGGTGCCGGGGCAGCAGGTGCGCCGAGCGCAGGGTCCGCCCACTGCCCGGAACGACCTCCCCATGGTTCCCACACTCCCCACATCAGAACCACCTGGGGAGGCGCCGTGGCTTCTGAAGTAGGACACTGCCAAGCTCTTGGCACCTGACTAAATGGTGGGAGCCAATGCTTTGTCCCACCAGCTGCTGTGGGGGCTGCAGCCTCCTCGGGAGGGTCCCTTCCCACACGCACAACCCGTGCCCTCACGCTCAGGCCATCCCCTTCGAGGGCCGGTTAGGAAGGCACAGCGGGGCCTTCCACATCCTGGCACTGTGAGGACCACCGGAGGCCATGGACCGGCCCCCAGGGCAGGGCTGAGGGGGGACCCGAACACGAACACGCAGGGAGCCACGGTCTTTACCCTCAAGTCGCCAGGCTCTGGGCTTCCACTCTTTATCCCTTGCCGCCTGCCTACCACGACGGCAGCCCGTTTCCCACCAACAGGACAAGAGTCACTTCTGTGGGGCGGGACTTCCGGCAGCCCCACCCCCAGGAGGAATCGCTCCCCAAGAGCACGTGTTAGCGAGCCGGGCATTGACGTCTTTAAGTGGAGGAAGTCCCAACTTGAAGGGTAACTCCTCCAGTCTCCCCGCCCGGAAATGCTTCCTTTGCTCAGAGGGGCGTTCACCCCAGAGTTAGCTGGGAAGACTCCCTGATGGAAGAGGCGGTCACCCATCGCGGAGTATGGCGGGGAGGGGCCACGTGGGGCGCCGGCACGTGGGGCGCCGGCACGTGGGGCGCCGGCACGTGGGGCGCCGGCACGTGGGGCGCCGGCACGTGGGGCGCCGGCACGTGGGGCGCCGGCACGTGGGGCGCCGGCACGTGGGGCGCCGGCAGGGTGTAGGAAGTCGGGCCCTTATTCCTCCCAACCTTCCCTCCGAGGTGCATTCTGTCCTTGTTTTCTGATAAAACTAGTACGTCTGAAATATTTGCTTTTATATTAGTTTTAATAGGGATGGTCCTAAGATGTCCAGAGCTAAAAATCTGCACATGTATTAAATTCATTCATTAAGACTGTAAGAAAAAAGTACTTAAAGCTATTTCTAATGAAACACGATTTCTGTAAGTAACTTTGAAACAGCAAGCTGAAAATCACGAATCAATTATAAATGGGTAGCTCTTATTCTCTGGGAAACATGACTGCTTCCTTCACACAGTATCCCCGCCCCGCCCCCTACAACCCCCCAAACATGACCACATTATTACAAATGAGAAAATGTTTATTAAGCAAACAATTTAAGTTTTCCCTTAGCAGAATTTTACAGATTAGAGCACAACCCAAAGGCAATTATAGTCTCAATTATTAACACACTACATAGGATACTTATTCTACAACTGAAAAGTTGCTGAAGTTTGTGACATGCCACTATAAATGTAAGTATTATTAAAAATTACAAATTGTTTGGTGATTATTTTGATAACTTCTTGAGCAGCAGCTCCTGCAAGGAAAAAGGAAAACAAATCTTTGAAAAACGTAAGTTTCAAGAATTATATAAAAATATCAATTCTGTAAAGAAAACCTTCCCTTTTCCCAAAAGCAAAGGTGTTTAAAAGTAATCCAAAACAGACGTACTTTACTGTGTCATATCAAAATAAAGGACCATAATTTTTAATAACTGTTATTAAAAGTTTTGTTTTATACATTCATAGCTTGGGATATTATGCCACAGTTTTAAAGAATGAAGTTTTTTTAATTACGGTGGTTTAGAAACATTAGCAAGATATATTAAGTAAAAAAACATCAAAATAGTAGTATAGTTGATTGCATTTTAAAGGATACACATAGGCAGAAAAGATTCTCTAAGGACTCCCTTCTGCTTTACTTTTACAATAAAAAGGGAATAAAGGTGTATTTGTTCTAAATACATTTGTAATTTGGAAAGAATCTCTATTAAATACTGCTGTAACTACTCAAAACAAAACAACAGAACAAACAAAAAAATTACTAAGAAAGAAATTCTTCATCTTTTATAACCTGAAGCTTGATCTTTCACAAACCCTCGTTAATTCAGTGCAACGTGAGACTCGACTCTGTACCAGACGCTGTTCTGGGCACCAGGAATATGGTAGGAACAGAAGACAAAATCAGTGCCCGCGGCCCTTCCCTTCCAGCAGTGAGGGAGAGACCATTTGCAAATGAGTGAAACAGCCCCTCAGATGGCCTTAGTGCGAAGGAGAAACAGCAGGAAGGAGGTGTGAGCGCAAGAGGAGGGCCTCCGCTTTAAATCGGAGTGAGGAGGGTCTCACAGGGAAGAAACTGAAAACAAAGACCTGGACAAAGTGAAGGAATATAAAAGCGTTGTGCCAGCTAATATTCAACATCCTGCTTCACTGACCTCCCTCGGTAAAACAGTTAAGAAAACAAAACTGTCTGGGCCAGTGTTGCTCAGTGG